GTGACATTTATCAGATGCCTGAGGTACATTAAACACAACACGACTGACAGAAATGGACAGAAAGGGGTGTAGAATCACCCAACATAATGTCCAGCTGCACCTCTACTGCTGTAATCGGTAACACAACTTTCTTGTCAAACACAGCAGGATACCCTCACGCACATCACAGTGACATTTAACGTGAACCTGGCAACCCACAGCCAAACAGTGTGAGGTTCAGGCGAGTCACGTTAATAATCAACCCTGAAAACCTAGACACCGAGAGCAACCCCCGACTGTTAGATTACTCCCCCCAAAAATACATTATTCAACAGACACACTAAAGACCTGTAAGAAGTTACACTTAGTGGTCATAAGTAAGACAACTACAGCAGTAACAGCTCCTCTGACCTTTTCTGGAAGCCTGGGAGAAAATAGGTTTGAAGGAAGCGTACCAGTGATACTGTCAGGAAACATCAGAGCGTGCTAAGTAGACTGAAAAGAAATCCATGCAAGTCAGAATCACCAGCAGAATATTTTATTAATCCCTGAGGAAATGATGTAGTTACAGTTGCTCCAACTTACAAAATATAACAAAATAGTTCTGATATATACAAATAGCTCAATTTATAAATATGCTACTGGTAGGTAAAAGACGGATGCAGCTTGCAAGTCTGTGAAATAAATGTAGAATTGACCTAAACCTGCACTTATAGAAATGACAAACGGGGGGCGACACTTCTGGATGCAAAAAGAAGTAAATGCATAGAAGTCTATGGAAAAATGACCCTCAGTTCTTTACTGTGACCTCAGTAAACACTGATGAGTTTATGGGCTGGATCTGTGAATGACATATCAGGATCATTTGGATCATGAATTGCTCCCATCAGCATCCATGGGGATAATAAAGCAGCTGGCCAATCTTTTGACTGAAAAACTGCCACTTTATAAGTAAGAAGTGTCCCTTTGCGATATCTGAATGTCAGAGAAGCTAAAATGGAAAAGCTCAGTTAGGGGCTTCAAAACTGTGGGATGGCACCGTGGCTACATCCATCTTTTATATACAGTCTATGGGTTGCTGGCATCTTTACTTTTAAATCAATATAAAGATAAAGGTGAGAATACTTATCATTTTACTTAGTTTGGTGGGATGAGCTGGAGATCTGGGCTGAATAATTAAATCAGAATGTGGTGAAACTTTTAAACTTTATTCAAAGAAAAATTAATCAAACCTTTTAAGCTGCCTTTAAAAAAAAAGATCTGATTTGACTGGTGACTCACGCAGTGTTTGCATCCCACTGAACATGGAAATGAAAGCTCTGGCTTCCTCTCTGTTCATTTAGGCAGTAGATAGATGCCCAGAGGCATTTCCAAGATGACCCCTGAGTTACAAGATTGCTTCTAGATTTGAGTGAAAATAATGTGAAAACCATTATCTTCAGCATATCTTCAATGTCGAATCGAATCTTATCGAATTTCCCAGAGGAACCCACCCGAGGGATTAATAAAGTTCTATCTAATCTAATGTGTTTTTGTTGGGTGGGAGCCTTAATTAAATGTCTGTGGGCCGAAATTGCTATGTGACCTAACCCCCGAGGAGGAAGCACCACAGCACGCTTGTTTGCCTTTGTTATGAAATCCTGTTTACGACACCTCAAAACATCCTTTTTTTTTAAATGAGAGTTTCTCTCACATCTGCAAACATTTGGTGACAGTAGATGGGACTTTATTTAGGAAGAAAACTCTTCATTTGGATAATGGCTGGGTGACTCCCCTCAGAGAGATCACAGTGTTTGACATGTGGTTTTTCCTGCTGGTAGCTCCTTCACCACTGAACAGACGTGTTTCTGTGTTCTGGTTTGTATGCAGGGAGGAGAAAAAAGCCTGAAAGAAACTAAGGATGGGACTAAAAACATTCATGGATATTTTTTTAGCCTTAGTTCAGCTACAGTAACGTTCTTCTTTTTTCTTTTTTATTGTTTTTCTAGCTCATCTAACATAAGTCAGGCTGAGAGTTCAGTACAAGGATGTTGTAACTTGGATCTTATGTGCATTAAAACAGCCCATTAAACTTGTTAGCTGACCAGGAAAGGGTCAATCAGCAACAGCTCTGGGGGGCGGAGTCAGTTTTGGCACAAAGAATTGGGAATTTAATCTTTTTTTGGTATAAAACTTTGACACTGCTGAATACTTCGAAGTGAATACATCTGCTTTAACTTTGTTAACTAAATAACTGATATATCAAAAAAAAAATTTCACATTAAGATCATCTGTAACAGACTTTCTTTCCTTCATTTAAAATAATCCTCTCAGAATCTGCACATTACCGAAGAGGCAAAGACTTAAAGGTCGACTAAAGTCCTCTGCTCATAAGCCCACAATCCAAGCAGATACTACAGAAATATTACAACACCTTGGAAACTAATTGGATGCATGCTTTATATAATGACGCTGGCAGCAAATTGAGGAAATTCCACTTGAAGCGAGGTTGTGGGAAACATATGGACAGGGTTGCATTACAGCAGATCGTCCTCTCGAGGCATTATGGTGGTTCAGAGGCCTGATGGACATACCACACAGTCACAGCACCAGGAAAAACATTCATGCTCTTTACATCACCTCACCTACCACTGACAGCTAATCTGATAACACACAAATGTTCTTTGTTACCCGACAACTACACCAGGTGATCTGACAGCCATCCTGCTGAACTTCTCTTTTATTCGACATGTCTGCAGATGACTGTGTATGTGGGAAAGTGGAAAGATACCATCTCATTTACATCTAAAGACTGCAAAACATTATTCAGATATTTAACTTTCTATTACAAATATTATGAGTGATTATCAGCTTAGGGATAAAATCCCTTTAACATGCATTTAATGCATATTTTGGATCTATAAATTTAAAGTATTTTAAATTCAAATTATTTAGAGCATAAACTTCATAGCAACCTTCACTTTTTGGACCTTAATGCTTTTAATTTTACTTTTATTGTTGGCATTTAAAAAGTCTTTGTTGGTTTTA